AAAAATATTGCCCAATATTTTTTACTGCATTAAGCATGATTATCCACGTAATAACGATGTAGTTCATTAAGAAGTCAACTTTTTCTTCTGTATTATCAAATGATGAATTCCCTATAATTGTTGAAGTATATTCCATCTCTTCATCATGCTATTAGAGATAACGCAAGACATTTGACGTTCAGGTACTTGCACGGAACGCCAGCTTGATATTGGGAGATAAAAGTGTTTACCATTCTCTGCACATTGACCTTCAAGTGATTTTCCACATTAATCTCTTCTTCATTTTGCTTGTAGTTTAGAACAGGAGTAATAAGTTTTGAGGTTTGATGGATTTCCAATACCTTAAATTCAAATTTTCAAGTGGCTCTTGTGCTCTGACTACCGTTTTGTAGACCGGCGAAGTGTGGCTTGATGATAACTGCATGCAGAAATGTGAGTGTGGAAATGGAAGTGACTTGCAGTGTTCAGATATAGAGTGTCACCCTCAGGCACAGTGTGATATTCGGAATGGCATTCGTGGCTGCTTTTGCATGGATGGATTTATTGGTGATGGCTTAAATTGTACAGGTACGTGCACATATAGTTGACTGATTGTATGGTGATTCTGAATACGGTTTTTTTTTATTCATATGCAGTATTTGCAAGTAACCTCGTGTACAAGAGGTAACAGACAATTGCTTTCAGAATCAAAAGAACGCATTTTTTAACCTGTCTAACGAGTCATCATTGCATTGAATGCACGCATATTTGCAAAACTATTCAATTTGAAATCTTCGGGAAGATGCGTGTCTATTGCAGATTTAATGCTGAAAACAAGTTTCTCGCAACTGATACTATTATTTCCTTCCATCCCGAAACTGTTTCATTGAGAATTGATTTTTTTTTCCATTTTAGCCATTCCAGAAAGTACCACCTTGTTAGAAACAACAGTCACTGCAGTTACCAACACCCCTCCAAAAAGTACTACGCCTGCACTCACAAGCACCACCCCTCCAGTATCAACCACCACTCTCGGTGAGTGATAAATTAGACTTGTTTTCCGAGTCATTAAATGAGCAGCACCGCGTAACACAAAACCTTTCGTTGCTGTTGGGCCGGTTTAACCTCAGATGAGCATAGCAGAATCCACTCACAATGTTATTTTCCAATATCGTAGCAGTGGATGTTATGACGGGCCTAGCCTTCAGAATCTTTTAGAGTAAAATCTTGTGGTCTTTATGACACTACTTGTTTGGAAACCGGACATAATATTCTCCTCCAGTAAGCACCACCACTCCTTTAGAAACTCCTTTTATACCCACTACCCCTCCAGAGCCTCCAGTAACTACCACCACCCCTCCAGAACCTCCAGTG